TATTTTCAAAACATATTTCGGGTTTAAAATTGTAATCGATTTTGGCTAAAAATTATATATTTTAGTATGCAATAATTTATTAAAATTATTATATTTATCGATAGTTAAACTCGAAATAATTACTTTACTTATTTATTTAAATGTTTTTAAAATTTAGGTGTGTTTAATTATATGAAAATTCTTTAATATGTGTAATATTTTATTAATTGAATAACATCTCCTTAATCTTCTCTTAAATCATTTAACTTGTAACCTAATTTATTCGATTGTATTTCAATTCTAGTCCTTTCTTATTCAATCTGTTTCAATTCTAGCTACTTCAATTCAAATTCTTTATTTCAATTATAGCCATTTGTTGATTTCAAATTTAGCCTATTCTTGTCTCAAATTTTTTCAAGACTCTAATTTCCATTTAATCTCAACCATCTATCAAAATTCGAGATCAAATCCTAGTCGTCCATCTTCATTTAATCAATTGTCAAATTGAATCTTCCCCACTTTCCTATTGTTCAATCTAAAAGACCTAAACCCTTAAAATATTGTTCATTTTTTTCCTCCTCTCAAAGAAGAGCAGCCGCAGCTCGTCTCCAATAGCTCCGGTGAGTTGCGCGAAGCGGCAGGCTCTGAGCAGCCGCCACCTCCTCAGTTCCCCTCTCCTCTCCCCTTTCCGACTAACGATCCCGGCTCAGCCGCACCCCTCTCTCACTCTCGACCCATCCCCGACCGGCGCTGCAACAACAGGTTGCGCCACCAACCCGATCGGTGCGCCGCCTCGATCAGCAGTGATAACAGCAGGTCACAGCAATAGCGCATAGGCGGCAGCAACAGCGCATGGGTGGCAGCAGCAGCAAACTCCGACAGCAGCTACAAGCAGAGGGAGTATACATCAAAATTCACTGCGGCAGTGACGGATTAAGCGGGTAAGTTTATCTTACTTGATTAATTTTAATTCATTCTTCTCCAATCTATTCATGTGGGTCTTTATATTTGCCTATTTATATTTATATTTGCTGTGAAAATATAGACTGGTCAACGGACAGAGATTGACTTTTGGTGGCTACTCTATACATACATTACCGTAAAGCCAAAAATACTCACTGAAACGCGGCTTTATTTTTGAAAAGTATGTATTCCAATATGACTAATGTTAAAGTTTGAATTCCAAAAAGATATCTATTCATGTGGGTGTTCTTTCTTTTTCTATGTTGATGCTTGTTTTCAAATTGGCTCGCATTTAGGAAATAGGCAGTTGACGAATCTCGATGTTGCTGTGTGTTTGTGCCATGTAGTAACTAATAATTATTGAATCTTTTTCTAGTGTTGAAAGGGTTGATTTTGCGGGCTAGGCAACTGAGGAAGCTCAACATCAAAAAAAGTTGATACAAGCTTCTTTCATCAAAGTAGGAGATAAGGTTTGGTGTTTCTAAATTTCTAAAGTTGAAGTACAATTTCTTTTTATAATGTGTTTGTGTCCATCTAGTATTGATACTTA